ATGGACACCAATTACTTTGCCCTCACTATTTTGCTTACCTTCACAAGTTTCTGCTTAACTAATGTCTCTGGACAGCGGAAGGCATGTTTGGGAAACTATTGCTCTGGTTCGTATAGAATGGGGGCTGTCTGCAAAGACGGTTACTGCGTCTGTAATAATCAAGACTACGATTATAATACTTGCTTGCGTAAGTAGTTTTGGTACAGTTCTACCGCAGACATATCAACACAATCAAATACATAACTCTAGAACTGATCACAGCCATTATCATACTCCGAAGTGGCAGGTGTGTTCCTCCTTCATTAAAGATACAAAATTTGGAACTTTGTTGAAGTAAACTTTAAGAGAGCACAAGAAAGTAAAATGTGATTCTCAGGTAATTTCCTACATGCACACCCATCCCGCAAACGCTTAACACCAATTCTCCTTTAATTCTCCAACCCAGCCCTCAACCTGTTGTCTTTTGTCTTTTTATTCTGCTGATGCTGATTTCTAGTAACTGTTTCATTTCTACAGCTGATGCATATGGATGTAGAATAGAGGTGAATTCTGATACAGCCCTTGCCAAACCAAACAACCAACAACAACAGGGCTATTCTACTTATAGTTGCACGCCTAGCAGCAGTTCCACACAGTACGAGGTCCACGTACTGGCTGTGTACGAGGTTATTAACAGGCGTCCTCCAACAGCCGGTAACGCAAATGTGAATATCGCCAGTCGTGGACAGTCAAACAGACCTATTGTACTCGTACTTGGAAGCTACGAACCTGTTAACTGGATTCTCAATTTACCCGCTGGTATTTCCATCAGTAAAGTGATACTGGTAAGTACATTCGCACATCATGAACTAAAAGAAAAAAAAAATCATTCCACTCAGAGACCTGTCGTTACGCAGTTTTCTTTTACCAACAGCATGTCAATTGTGGGGTAAGCTTTTTGAAAATATTTTGTTGTTACATTTTCAGAATAAAACCAAGAAATAATTATCTTGCCTTTCAAACAAGAAAAGAAATGTTGGTGAGGGAGAGTTCTGTTTTATTTGTAGGTTTCTTATTCATTGGATAAAAGTTCTGTTAGTGGAGATGTGAACCAAGTGCAAGCAATTGAACGAAAGAGTACCCTCTATTCAGACTGGGATAGTGGCCATGGCAGTGATTCGGGGGGAGGAAATACAGTTGGGCTTCTAAAGTAAGTCACTTACTGAACAGCAAAGTTATATTTGAGTTTATTTCGCATTGTCCGTCGAAAAGATGTTCAATCTAAAGTCTTGATTTTTTTCACATATATGGTAGCTTTATAATGTTCATTTTGGACACCACAAACATTTTGCCTTTTTTGTAGAAATGTGTACAACAGATTTGGTGTGGTGACGTCGTTTACAGGTACTTACATAGCGAATCAATGGTCACTGGTGGTACGTTCCTCAAACGGTACGTTTATCAAACTGGTCCCTTCTTTTTAACCGATATAAACTAATGTTTTTCATTATCTTTTCTTATTATTCATTCAAAATATTTCCCCGATTCTGATTGGCTAAAAGCACACGTTTAATTTACCATAACCAGTTACTGATGAGCAAATTTGGAAGAATTCTGACTTTAACGAGGAAATGACGTCAAAAATGCAGCGTTTTCGCAGGTTAAGGCACCGTTAACCGAGAAGACCTGGGGACGAGGTTGAGTTGTTTTGGTTGTGAACTTGAAAAAATGGCGGACATTTCACTCGTTTCAAGAGTAAGAACCATAGGCGTACGGGCCGGGGGGGCGAGGGGGGCTGCAGCCCCCCCAAATTTTGGGCAACTCAGATTTTTTGGGCAGCAAGAGAAAATTTGGGCAAAGGCAACTTTTAAAGACGTTTTCACGTTTTGCCATTAGTATTTTGAAGAGATAAATATTTTCTATTTTAACCTGAAGTCGGCGTAATAATCAAGTTACATTCACACGAGACAGTGGCTGCCAAGCACGTGATGATTTTCTGTTTATGAGGGAAGGGTTTTTTTTAATCGTTGGGCGCTGTACTACAATACATACATACATACATACATACATACATACTTTATTGACTTTCCCAAGGGGCTTTTCAAAGACAATACATGATCCTATTTACAATTAAAAAATGTTTTAAAATATATATAAAATTACAATTCTTTAAGTAATTTAGTACGTAAACGAGTTTTAAAAACATCAATCGAGTTACACAGTTTAAAGGAATTGTCTAAGGAGTTCCATAAGTTCACAGTTCTATAGAAAAATGTTCTCTGACCGGCAGCTGTTCTAAAAAAGGGAATTTGTAAAAGCTGTGAATTTCTGGTGCTACGTCGGCTAACCTCTGCTCGCTTTATGAATTTTGATGTAAGGTATTCAGGGGCTTGACCGGTCATACATTTAAAAGCCATTGTAGCGTTCCGGTAATAAAGCTGACTGGGAACTGAAAGCCAATTTAGCTCCTTGCGAATTGGTGTAACATGGTCAAATTTACGCGCGCCGCTAACAATGCGGCATGCGAAGTTCTGCACTGCCTGTAACTTGTTGACATTACATTTTGAGGTATTTGACCAAACATTGGAGCAATAAAATAACCTGCTAAAAACTAAGGAATTAATAATCATCAAAAGTGTACGTTTGTCGAAGACATGCTTGACACGGTTTATCTGGCCAAGGCGGGACATGCACGAGGAAGCGGTTTTAATTATATGTTCATCGTAAGTTAAATTAGGATCCAAAGTCACACCAAGGTCTTTGGCGGTGTCTGTAGGGACAATGTCCTTACCCATAAAGGAAAGGTGACGAAATTGGAATTTTGCACGCATCTGCCTGCTGCCAAATATCATCAACTTGGTTTTGCCAGGGTTTAGTAACAATTGATTGTTGGAACACCATTCCCCTATTTTAAACAGGTCGTCTTCCAAATCAGAAATTGCATCCAGGTTGGCTTTAAGCTCGAAGGAAGTGATGAGTTTCGTATCATCTACATAACTCTGGGTGCTGCATTTCTGTGGGATCAATGGAAGATCGTTCGTATATATGCTAAAAAGAAGTGGGCCCAAGATGCTTCCTTGAGGAACGCCACTGGTCACAGACAAAGGCTCAGATAGCGTTGAATAGATTCGTACTACTTGTGACCTGTTGCTTAGGTAACTACGAAACCATTGGAGAGTGTCACTGGAAATTCCGACATCTTGCAATTTTAAAATTAACGTGTCATGATTGACACTATCAAAGGCTTTGCTCATATCTAATAGTACAACTGCCGTTAACTTCTTTTTATCGATGGCGTTAAGAATTGTGTCTGTTGTTTCAATGACAGATGTTTCACAAGAGTGCCATCTCTTGTTACCGCTTTGACTCTTTGATAGGGTGTCATTTGATTGCAGATACGAGGTGAGTTGATTATGTACTACCCTTTCGCAAACCTTCGATAAAACTGGTAGAAGTGAGATGGGTCTATTGTTGTTTGCCTGTTCATGGTCGCCCTCCTTTAGGATGGGTGTAACCTCGGCTGTTTTCCATTTTGATGGAAAAACACAGTTTTGAAAGGATGCATTAACGATAGACGTTATTGGGTGAGCAATTGGATTAAGACAGTCTTTGATGACACGAATCGGAATTTTATCTATCCCGGGGGCCTTGTTTGAAGGCATCGCTGCTATTATACGCTCTACTTGTTTATAATCAACGGTACTAAGTGTGAACTGGTCAGAGGAAGCGTATTGTCTCGGCACGAAATAATTCTGATTAAGTGTTAAGTTGCATTCATTAGCCAGGGACGTAATTTTGTCAACAGTGCTCTGACCAACAGATACGAAGAACTGGTTAAATTCGTCTGCAACAGATTTGACGCTCTTACTAAATGTTCGCTGGGAAGTAGATTTATTGGGGACACACTGGCGGATTGCTTTCCAGATATTATTGGTGTTATTTGGGCTATTTCCAATCGTGAATTGATTAGAATAAACTTCCGCCTAACTTTCAAGAATCATCTCCGCTTGTAGAACAGTGTATGGCAGATAGCATCAGCGATTGATCTGAAAGTGAAGAAGTGCCTGACGAATTCTCACTCTGATTTACGAGAAGAATCTTAATTTTTTTAAAAAAATCTATCAAGTGGTTCAAATTATTCACTAATTTGTTAAAGTAGACCGAAATGTTTACAAAACCGTTAACAAGAGCGCCATATGATACATACTAATGAAATCCTTCTTTGTAGCCGTGATTGACCAGAATTATCTCTAAAATAACTCACACACATTTTTAAAACGATTGAAGCTATATATTATGAGGTGAAATTGCATGTCAAAAGCGCTTCGTTTTCTACAGATAACGGCTAAACATCAAGATTTTCCTTGTTTTACTCTATTTCTAACGATAAAAACTTTATCCCAAAATATCCCGATAACGCTCTCACAGATTCCGTTTTAACTTCACAAACATCGAGGCGACTATTGGAGGAAAAAGCTCTCGAGAACGATTTCATAGACCTAGGTAATGGCATCATTTCGTTGCTATGACAACTCCGATGTCATTGCAACCCTGATCATGACAAATTTTCATCTTTATATAATACAACTGTGGTGGCAATTTTTCCAAATGTTTGTTTATAGCAAGGTATAGTTTATGCTCAAGCTTGGCAGGTATATATTGACCCTGAAAAACTGTATTGAGGCACGTTCGTATGCCAGTACGGCCTATGTTGTTGCATCGTATGGCCCTTGTGTAAAAATTTGGGCAACTTGCGAGAATTTTTTGGGCAAATGGTTTACCGCCCCCCCTGGCCGAAAATTGCCCGTACGCCTATGGTAAGAACTAGGCGAAAAAATAGTTAAAAACATGGCAGGAACAGCAAGAAGACAACTCGAAGGGCGACATCTGCTATTTGGAGAATATTTGCGGAGCTGGACAAACCTAAACGTACACTATCGAAGATGAAATGAACATCGATGGAGGTAAGCATGTTTTAGCTATGTTTTTAAACTAGGAATTATTTTGAATGAATAATAAAACAGTTATTGAATTCGGCTTTCGTATCATATGAAGAATTATGGAGATCTCGGAGGGTGTTATCCGCCTCGGCCTACGGCCTCGACGGATAACACCCTCCTCGATCCCCATAATTCTTCATAAGATACTCAGCCTCATTCATTAACTGTTAATTATTAGAGTCTATTTGGGTAATGCAATGTTTCTGGTTAACCTGATTAATCCAATTGCAGTAAATATCATGTTTGGAAAGTCCTTTTGTGCAAAGTAGCATAATTACGATTTGTCTCAATTTTAGATTTAGCCAGGCCTTTAAAGGCCGCTTCTCTTAAACAGTGGGGGCGTGTGTGGCCGAGCGGCTAACACTCAAACTCTAGATCTGGAGGTCCGGGGTTCAAGCCTCGCCCGTCGCGTTGTTTCTTTAGACAAGGAACTTTACTCCACCATGTCTCTCTTCACCCAGGTGTATAAATGGGTACCGGCGACATACTGCTGGGGTAACCCTGTGCGCGATGGACTAGCATTCCGTCCAGGGGGAAGTAGCAATACTCGTAGGTATGCTTCATGCTACGGAAACCGGTATAAGCTCCGGCCGTGTGGGCCTTTGGCTTTACCTACCTTTACCTCTCTTAAACAGGTTCAGGGCTTGGAGCTGCACCTAGTACATCCACCACCTCACCAACACCTACACTCAATCCACACCAGCGTGAGTGTTATAACTGGCAGAACTCTTACTATTGTCGCCAAGGTTACAACATGAAGGTTGTTTGCAAAGAGAGATATTGCGTCTGCACTGATCAAGGCAACAACTATGAAACTTGCTTGAGTAAGTTGTTTCCTAATGATTTTAACAAATCAGGTCCAAAGAGCTAGCTCAGATATCGACGGAAGACCTGCAAAGTCGCATTCCACCGTCAGAAAGAAATGCCAATGAAAAGCATATTGCTAAAATTATTTGAAAAGAACGCGGCGCTCCAGTTTTGTTAACACAAAGGTGCTGACTTCCCAAAACCATAGATATCACTTAGGACGCCTATTTCTTAGAGAGAGGTTCTCAAATCTGTTGTTTAGGACTTGCTCATCCCTGATGTATTCTAAGGTTATGTACCCCCGTGAAGGTGGGGAAAAACACGCGCACACTAATGGAAAATATAACTACCTAAATAAAAGACACGGTGTGCTGAATACAAAAAAGAAAAGAAGAGTTGATCAATCACGGTCACTAGTCAAGCAGCACAACACCATCTCCACCCTGGCTGCAACTCTGACCGTGATTTTTTTAAACTACTGATGCATTACTAATAAGTTTTTTATTTCTTCAGCTGATGCATATGGATGTAAAATCGAGGTGAGTTCTACTACAGCCCTTGCTAAAGCACGGTATAACAACCAACAGAGCCATCCTACCTACAGCTGCACCCCCGGCAACAGTTCTACACAGTACGAGGTGCACGTATTGTCTGTGTACGAGGCTATTAACAGGCTTCCTCTAACAGCCGGTAACGCAAGTGTGAATATCGTCAGTCGAGGAAAGTCAAACAGACCAATTGTACTCGTACTTGCAAGCTACGAACCTGTTAACTGGATTCTCAATTTACCCACGGATATTTCCATCAGTAAAGTTCTATTGGTAAGTACATTCGCACATCGGGAACTAGATCAGTGAACTCACTTCAGCTTAGAACACTCACTTCAATTTAGCGTGAATGTAGCGGGCATGCCACGATGTTAGGGATTTGAAGAAAACAAATCGGAACAGCTTTGATACTACAATAATATACGCTTTGATTTTAACAGTAACCTCTGAACCACTTTTCAGATTCGGAATTGAGAGGTGAACCGCTCCCTGTCTGTTTTTGCCTTTTGCGTCCGTTTTCTCTATCCCTACTTGATATGAGACTAGTATAGTCTGTTGTATTTGATAAATAAACGCGACTTTCTCTTGCGTTCGCCACCTCAACCCCTCCTTCGAATAAAGAAAAAACACTTCTCAAACGGTTTGAAGTAAACAATTTGGTTACTAAAGTGAACAAACCTAAGAGACATCTTGTGGAAAGATATTTTGAAGAAGGAAAATTGTTGACAGTATCGTGCTGAACTGACGTTTGTACGAAGCTCATGTTCTCTCGTCAAACGTGGCCACCGGGCACGTTACGGCGACGCCACGGGAGGCGGGTGTGCGTCTATCGCAAACGGCGTGTACTTTAGTAAACAACGAGAGTATCCCGAGAAGCAAACCAGCTGCACCTGTTGACGATGCGTGAGTTTTATTTGTAGGTGGCTTATTATGTGAATGAAAGCTTCGTTCGTGGAGAAGTAAACGAAGTGCAAGCAATTGAACGAAGGAGTTGGCGTAATTCAGACTGGAAAGTGGGATGGGGCCGTGATTTGGAGGGAGGAGATGATACAGTGGCGCTTCTGAAGTGAGTAACCTTATATAGAATTATGTTAGACTTGATATATTTTATCTTTTCATCAGACATTTAAGAAAACCTGTAACAAACATACTCACGGTACTCTTAACAATTTTGCCATATCATCAGTAACTTATCAGCTTTCCAACAATTGCCTTATTGGAAGGTAGTTACTGTGCAGAAAACAGAAAGAGCAAGTAACCATAGCAAACCTTGCAAAAAGGCTGAATCAGTGTAATAGAAAATCTGTTATGTTTGGAGGTGGAGAGGAAGAGAGAGAGAGAGAGAGGGGTGGGGGGAGGGGAAAGAAACTGTCATGATACAGTCATAAAGAAAATCCAAATAAGCAAAATGATTTGTCTTCACCGATGGATCTTTTCGTATTTTGAAAACGGGCTAAAAAGCTTTTGATAGAATACAGTTTTGATACAATGTATTAAAATGCTTTCATACAATAAGTGTCTTGTAACTGTACATCTAGAGTTTTTAACAACAGGCTTCCCAACAACACACATATAACAACTAACAACATTTCTGGTTAATTGTGCCGTAGTAGACCATTACGCTTTATTTGAAGCCCAAACTGAACCTAAAAAACAAAATTGCGAACAATACATCAAGAAAAATGAACGGAGTTTTGGATACGTATCTACAGGAGACACTCGGAGGCCACCAAAGAACCCTACAAAAAAACCGCGAAAAGGTGGGGAAAATTGAGGAAACCTGGGTAAGAACGAAGCCCAAAAACTCCACGACCTTCCTACGAGGCCGAAAAAATAATAAAACAAAAGGAAGAGTAACGACCGAGAATGACTTGCATGCTAAACAGCCTCTATTCATACAAAAATACTAATTCCACTCTTCACGTATAAACATACCAGGGCGTAAGACGCTTACGCCCTGAAACATACAATTACTTTCAGTTATACTACTACATGAGAAATTTCTGCAATCTGATTGGCTTAGAGCAGTGGTATTTCAGCTTAATTTGAAATACCTACATGTGAAAACTACAAACCTTTGGCGGGTAGTAGTACAAACAAATAATAGCATGATTCGTACGTGATATTTGGTACAAATACCACTCGTGATATTTCAAAATTGTCTAAAATTTCACTCGGCTAACGGCTCGTGAAATTAGGTATAACAATTTTGAAATATCACTCGTGGTATTTATGCCAAATATCACTACAAATCATGCTATTACTTACACAAATACCTGGTTACATGATCATTCAAAGCATCTCACAAATAATCAATAGCTAAAATAACAGCGAATAGAAATCAATTCTCTTCTAATGCTACGCAACCGAAGAGAATTTACAATTTATATATTCCCTTACTTTCACTTTTTGTAGACAAGTTTACAACAGGTTTGGCGTGGTGACGTCATTTACAAGTACTTACAGAGCAGATGAATGGTCACTGGTGGTACGATCCTCAAACGGTACGTTTACGTAACGTTTTACCTTCTTTTCAACCGAATAACACAACTTTATTCATAAAGCTATAATGTTATAGCTTATAACATTGGAGTTTATTTAGATAATACCATCTTCCTGGTTAATGGATTAATTATTTAACACTGTAATTGTTTGACTTACTTTATTGGGCAATACACACTATATGAATAGTATAGATATATACATTGTAGCGGAGTTCGAGCGGAGCCCTATGCCTAAAAAAAAATCGGTAATCTGTTCATCGGAGAAATTTTGGTAATCACGTGACCCTACGTGCGCCCGTCCGCACCACAGGAAAACCAATGTGAAATGCCAAACTTTCTAGCTAGTGTGGGACCCTATAACCTGTGTTTGAGTTGATGATAGATATCCATATTATGGTCAATTGACAGCTGTCAAAACACGGTATCCGCTGACCAGAGTCACTTGACCATATCACGGGCTCACGTGCCAACTCATCGAGGTCACGTGTTTTTCTTTTTCAGTCATATGGTTCTACAGTTTAGTATCGATTTGTGGATTTCTTCGCAATGGTTTAAAGTCCATTTTCTTAACTAAATTTAAAGTACATAAACTGGAGCTTCCCTTTTAGCTCTGGCTAAATTTATATATTAAAATGTTAAAAAATAAAATGAAAAATGGATGCCTAAGAGGGAAAGGCGCTGACGGAACATTCAGACCCACGCGAGGGGCCCATCCAAGGGAATGAAAGAATTTGAAGTATATACAAAAACTAAAACAATCGAAAACATTAATCTAACGACTGAGTGTGGTGACATGGATAGTTCCGTGAGATGGACTACGGACACACCTCAAAGGCTGACATTAAAAGAGACTTATACATATTCATCAAAAATGATTTAAAATCGCTCAGGGAGGTAAACCTACTAGGGAAAGCTATGTTGTTCTACATTCTTACAATACGAACAAAATATGAGTGAATCGTCATTGGAAAGTCATCTTGCGCAAGGTAACACAAAAATTCCTCTTTATTATAGATTTTTACAGACCTCTTCTTCAATCCAGTTCCTGTGTGCCCGGATATAAGATCATGGAGAGCTTCTTGGGCTTCATAGTTACAACAGTAACGATAACAATTATTCAGTATGTGCGCTAGACTGGTTTTAAGGAGGCACTCTAGGTGGTGAATAAGTCATATTTGTACTCTATACATTATGGCTAACCACGAATTGATGGTTTTCACGGTGACGTCATCAGATTGCAAAGTCAAAAAAGCGAGGTTTTACGAATTCTTATTTACACTAGGCTGAAGATTAATAGGAAATACATCTTTGTACAAGTTTCCAGCCCCGAAGCATGTTTCATTTCGAAAATACAGCAATTTGAACTTCCGAGTTTTCACAGTGCGTGACGCCAAAAGAGGAATACTATCTCCTTGAAAAAAAGTCCCTCCGCTTGATTTTCAGCAGTTTAACCGTTTCAAGTATTAGAAGATATGTTTATGCGCAAGTATGCTAGTTCTCGAGTGAAAAGGAAGAGCTTTTATAGAAAAAGTGAACTCCAGATGTTTTTGTTGATTTCCGGCGGCCATATTGGTGGACAATTTCTGTCCACCAGTATGGCGTCTCCATACAAAGCTCTACAAAGGTGCGTGAAATATTTCGGCAACTAACTCAGAAACTGTGGGCCACAAAGACCTGAGATTTGGACAAATTGTTTATGTATTAGTCTTTTTTAACATTTCATTTTCTTGGGTTCTTCCACTGGACGGTTTCAGATGTATTTTTTTGTGCCGTGTTTATTGCGTGACAGTGAAAACGAAGAATAATGTTTTTGGTGCATTATCTGAATGGCCACTGAACTTCTAGGTCAGCTGTGTGTTTGCTTCGCGTGAACTTTGTTTAACACTGTTGTTCTATTCTCATTTTGCTGTTATACACTTGCACGATAATCCTTAGGAGAATTTAGTGAAAGCGTTTATTTTTAATTTATGTGATGAAAAGGACATTTGCTGAAAGGTTACAATTACCAGCCGTATGAATTTGTTAAAACTCTGGTCAAGACCCAACCTCGTTCCCAGTCGTCCTCGACGATTTCCGATGTCACATCACCTGTCAAGCTTCTGTCAAGCTTGTCGGGGAACTCGCGTCATTGCCGTAGTTTCCAAGCCTCCTCCGCTGACTCGGAGAGCGCGAATTGGCGTGGGGACGAGGCTGGTCAAGACCGCCTCTCCCCCTCCGCAGAGGCTCAAATGGGCACGGCGAGAGTGAGTGCAGGCGCAAAAATTGGTTGGTACCGTTTCATTATGTTCCCTGGTAAAAAGCCGGAAGACAGGGTGCACTGGGTGTAATGATTAGGAGGCGCCAGTCTTGCAACTCCGCACATGCCATGCGCAAACAATTTTCCCTTTTATCAACGTCATCAAAAAGTATCCTTTGATCAATAAAGCAGAAGACAAGTTGACTAGCAAAATTTTCTTTTTTTCATGATAGTGAAACCAAACTTCAGAGCTCTCTTCAAAGGCTTTTCTCCACTCAAGTGCCAGCCGAAGGGGGTCTCAGCAAAGTTTAATTCGGGAAGGCTCTGTCTGAGGTCCTACCCCTTAGACTTTTTATTCAATTTTTGACAGGAAATGTAACTCTTTTGTATATCTTCCATTAAAAAATGGTACCCCTTGCGAAAACACTGATGAGAAAGGCGCCAGAGGGATTAAAAACAACAAAAATAATCGTTTGATAGATAAAAGAGTGAGTCGATGTTCATCAGTATCTAAGTGAAAGGACTTGTGTTTTCGACAGCAAAGAAGATTGCTCAGAGAAGAATTATCAAATGATATTTGCGACCAAGTTTCTCTCTTGCTTCAGCAGGTTCGCATTGCTTATTTTGGTGAAAGGAAAGTACGTTTTTCATCTTCCTTGTTTCTTGTTTGGTAACCGCTATATAAAATCTTTGCCTTGTCAATAGACCTTTTTACCGATACGGCGGCCATGTTGAATTTATTAGATTTGAGGAGTGTTATGGGATACCCAGCGGGCACTCGCTCAGTATTTACGCACGCTTTTTGGGGAAAACGAGAACTTCAACTTACACAGTAAATTCAGCGCACTCCCTTCGACGAAAGTAACCTTTAAAAAGTCCTCACCTCGTGATGATTGAGATAAACCACCTGGATATAGAAACTTTTAGCATTTTTTTCAATTATGCTAAAAGTGCTTTCCAGTTAAGGTTCCAAAAAATTATTGATATCTGGTATCTAATTTTAGGTATTGTGTGCCTTATAGAACTCCCTCGCTTCACTTTAGCTGGGTAAATATAGCATTTCACTGTTGTTAAAAAGTGCTAGCGACGCCTAGGAACCGTGTGTATTTAAACTTGGCTGGGATAAAGTCGTTTTGCGGTTTCTTATAAACATTGAAAAGCCCTTTTAGCTGCGATGATGGAACACGAACTTCGTATTGTACGTTTACTGTCGAGTCTGGAATACGAGTCTAGACTGATCTTTCAAAATACTTGAAAACGGCAAGAGAAAAATTGTTTACAGAGGGAACAAGAGTAACTGATGGTTTCAAGAGGGAAAGTATTTACACACCCAGGACCCAGGCACAAGTCTTGTATTGGTCCGAGACTGAAGATCCTGTCAGACAACTCAAGTACACGGTACTCAGAAGTTGTGCTCGGTTTTACACAAAGTCCAATGACAGAGGAGTACAGTGCCCTGTGGCCACAGGAGAGGGTAAGTCTCGTTTCCATGGCAAAACCACTTTGACACTCTAAGATCATTTTGCATTTGCATTACAATGACTGTCTCATACCTTTTAAGGAAGGGGTGGTGCTGCGAACCTCGTTTCAGACGTTGCACCATCCGAGTTAAGTACCAGCCCCTTCAAGTTCAAGTCGAGAAATTGGGTAAGGGGATTGAGGGGAGGGATGACATGAAGAAATTTTATCCACGCCCTTGCACCACTCAAGCTGATATCAGGATGGCTACAGCCACAGTGAAAAGACAGATCGTTTGAAAGAGAGACAAACATGGTTAGAGGAGGTGCTCCGCCAAGTTAAATACCGTACAAACTTTCTTTCAGATGAATCACAAAGTCTCCGAAGTCGGAGAGTAGTTCACAAAGCGGAGTTTACGCAACTTCAAGGCCAAAGGCAGCGACAACCAATTTTAAAGTACATTCGCGTTCTTTTAATTAATCTTAATTGCGATTATTCCAACACGCTGAATTTTGTCAACTGTTAGAGAATCTATTCGCGACTGCGTGTTTACGACCCCCATAAAACGCCACGCTCACTTGGAAGTTTCACGTCGTAACCGTGCAGGAACGACAAAGAAAAACTGTGATACACAGTTGGATGCTACGAAAAGGAGGAACGCTGAACAGGAAAATGAAAAATGGGAACAAAACAGAGAATTGGCAACGAATTTACTGATAGGGCTAGGGTTCAAGATACGTTTTGTTTCAATTTTTCATTTTCCCTTTGCCCGTTTTAGTAACATCCGTACACAGTTGTTACTTAGACTTTCAAAAAAGTCCTTCGTCGTATTTCATATGGCGCTCGCGGTCGACCGCTTCGCGGCGTCAAAAAGCTCGCTCCGCTCGCCAAGAGGTCGAATTGTAGCAAGTCTAAGTTTTTCCTCTGTTTATTAAACTCATTTCGGGGTTGTTAAAACTTGTTCAAGTTAGCTTGCAGTTCTACGCTTCTGTACGATAAAGCGAGAACATAACGTGGATGGTATAGACTGCGCAAAAACTATGACTTAGTTAGAACAAGACGGGCCGGATGATAATCCTGTCTTGGTTGGAAAGTTACACAGGAAGATACTTTTAATAAATGCAGAATGGCGTATTGAATGTCGTTACGCTAACAAGATACGAAAAGCGAGACGTGCGTGATTGCATTCGTCCTGTTTGCCGGGAATCTACATGAATCCGCTACACGCAAAATGAGGACGGTTTGAAGTGTTTTGGTCTTGGAGCACTGTTTCACCGTTCTTACTGGAAAGTTATTATTTTTAATTACCTCACAGTCCAC